ATAAAGTTCATGTGTTGCAGGAACAAAAATGCATATTTGTTCAAAAGCTGCTGCACCTGCTGCTTCTGGACAGGAAGCTGGTCTCTGCCCTTGAATAAGGCCCTCCATGTGTTCTGGGAAAACTGGGCTCGGAGCCACAGTATGTTGAAACAAAAAATTTCAACACAGGGGTAAAAGCAGAGAGGAGATCCCAATCCTCTGCCCTTCTAGGTTCTAGGCTGGGACCCAACTCCTGTAATAAAAGACAGATGAATAAGAAAAAAACAAACAGAAGTTTAATCACATGTATACCTCCTGTCTACATGAGAGAGACCAAGAAAAACCAAGTAACTTCCCAAAATGGCCCAAGCCACCACCTGAAATATCATCTTCAGCTAAAGACAAAAGGAGATGTTGGGGGAGAGAGGACCCCACAATGGGAGGCGGCCAGGAAGAACACCGTGACCAAGGATACATTGTGACTCAGGTGTTAAGTCCTTGCCTTCTCCACTGGTAAGAGTTTCTAGAGATGTACTCATCTTCCCCTTTCTGGCACAGAGAGGGATACAGCTTCACAATGGGGATGTCCCTTATGAATATAAATGTTCCTCATGAAAGGGTAACCCAAGAGGCACTTTGGATGATACGTTCTGCTTCCCTTCACCTGCCTAGCCTATATGGTGGTGCTCCTGAGCCTGTAAAGTGCACATAAATCTCCTGGGGAGCATCTCAGGGTACAGATTCTGAATTAGCAGGTCTGAGGTGGGTCCCAATGGTTTGTCTTTCTAACAAGCTCCCTGCTGCTGGTCCCCAAAGCACATGTTGAGTATAGCAAGTGTGTGAGTACAGCAAGCTCTCTTCCTCAGAGGCAGGGGCATGTCCTGCAGACATCACTATGCCTCTAATTTTTTTTGCTTCTTTTGTACTGTTCAGAAATATGATGTAGGTCCCCTTGAGTGAAAGGAGAGAATATTCTGAAGGGACTGCTGGCTCATGAGACAGTCTCCAATGATATGGTAGTTTCAGTGGCCAGTAGAGAGATGACCAGGAAGGGACAATCCTGAAGAGGAGAGGCCAGTGGATTCTGGAACAGTAGCAGCTATTTGTTTTGCTTTTCTTTCTCTGTCATAATTCTCTTATATTCTTAGCAGGCCCTAGAGAACATTGTGACAATGCGATCCTGGCATGAACACTGCTTGCAGAACTAAATGGGGCGGGGGGGCTGTACCAATGCTTGGGGAAAAGTTGACCGATGAAGGCTGTCAGAGCCCACAGAAGAAACTGAGAGATGGCCAGAGGTTTCGTGCATATGGCCCTGGAGCATCATTCTGGTGCTCCAGGTAACAGGTGGCACCCAAGACATATCAGCTCCCTTCTTCCCCCCAGAGCATCCACAGTGGTATTTGGAGAAGGTAGCAAATTTTCTGCATTCACACTGAGTTGGTTCAGTTTTAAAGAAAATGATATTTGTCCTTGGGCTAAAGAATATGGGAACACTCAGGTACATGTTTGGGCAAGATTATTAGTCATGCTTAATGTCCATTTTTATTTTCTCTCTCATGGTAATAGAACCCCACATTTTTAGTTGACATGTGGCTATATAATGTAGACTATCAACTACACTGCACAGCCTCCCTTGCAGCTAGGTGTAGCCATATGACCAAGCTCTGGCCAATGGCACACAAGTGGAAATCACATAGGGCATATAAATTATTCCTTTCAAAGAAAGTAATATGTCCTTCCCTTCCCCTCTTCCCATTCTTATTGACTGGAGGTGAACATGGCAATTTGTTGTCTTGAACCTGGAAAACAAAAACCATGAATGGCAGAACAACAAGATGGAAGGATCCTGGGTCCCTCAAAAAGTGGAGCTACCAGCTCAACCCACTGCCTCCATCTAAACTTGTTTTGCCACTATTTCCTAACTTAAATATTTGTATTCCATTCTGAAAATGTTTGGAGCTTAAACAGACATAAGTCACCCTTTCAGCGAAGATTGGACCAAACTCTTCTTGGTCACCTGTGTTTTACAGTCAACAAATACTTATTAAGAACTCTAAGGATGCAGCATTACACAAAACAAACAAAAATAAGGTACTAATAGAGCTTACATTTAGTATTATTTCACTTACTCTTTATAATCACACTGCCAGGAAAATGTCACCTGTATTTTATAGAGGAGGAAATGAAGATAGAGGTATTTCCAGTAATTTGCTTGAGGTCACACAGCTGGTGAATGGTACATTCAGAATCCAGGTTTACCTCATGCCAAAGCCATTCCCTCCCCAGTAAGCCAGTGGTTTCCAAACTGTGCTCTGTGTAGGGGTTCCAAAGAGGTTTGTCAGAGGTTGTCATGGATGGAGGGTTGTGACGATGAGGGATCAAGGGGTAGGTTTTTCCTATAAGCCCAATTAAGGCCTGTGATGAGCTCAGAGAAGATATGAAGAGCCCTGGAGGCCAGGAATGAGAGAAACCCATCTGTCAGTGGGCCCTGTATTGGAGACATGCCCCCAAAGAAAGCTGGGGCTTGATACCAGAGGGCCCTGGGACATGCACGTTCTCCATAAGCTTGGGGGCCCCAGACCAATACCCCCATCTCTGGAAATTGGGAGGAGGTGCCTCATATGTAAATCAAGCTATAAGGAAATAAAGAGTGTTGTGTTAAAAATGTCTGTTTAATAAATATTTAGGAATAAAAAAATTTAAAATGTCTGAGCTTCTGCATGGAAATTTGTATCACACACACATGCACACAGACGAAAGAAAAGGGACAGAAAACTCCAACCACTGTTAGTTGGGACTGTCACTGGGTGATGAGATTCCAAAGCATGCTGTTCAGTGTCCCTTCTTATATGTTTCTGAGTTTTCACATGTTCCTGAATGAGTATTTCATAACCAAAGCAAAAACTAACAAAGGAAGAGTTTCGTTTTCAAGAGAAAAGAAGCCAGCTGTTGCCAGCACTGGATCATTCCGGGATCTCTAATGGTGTTACGAGAAATGATCATTTTCGATTTCCATTCTGAAATGGAATTCCCCTCAACATTTCCCAAGGGAGGGAGGAGTCCTCTGCAGGGATAAATAAGCATTTGCACCCACGAGAAGCTAGTGCTCTTGGCCAGCAGTGGCTTTGGCATCCACTAAGGACACCCAGCTCACCGAGGCAGGTAATCCACGATGCTGAGCGTACGGGGAGCAAAGGAATCCACTCGTCTGGGGGTTCTAGGTCTTAGCCTGGACCCATGGACCGTGTGGCAGGAGGGAGCCACGAGGACACGTGCCGGAGTGCTGGGGCCAGTCCTGGTGTCCTCTGAAGACTGTCCTCTGTCTGGGTGTGAGCTGTACACCTGCAAAGGGTGACGTGCAGCGAGGGTGTCTAGGGTCATTTCTGCCCCCGCCACTGGGCTCTCCTTTGCGTCAGCTGTGTACCCCACCCAGCAGTGTACCACCCTCAGGAGGAGCGCTCTCTGGGGGCAGGAGGGGCCTCCCCTGGCCTGGTACAGGGGCTGCCCTCAAAGTGGTGCAGACAGAATGATTGTACTTGGTCCCTCTGGGAAGAGGCCTCAGGGGCTCACTGGGGACTGTTCTGGCCTCCAGTGTCCTGCCAAGCAGACAAGCGGGCTGTAGCCCAGCCATCCAAAGGACGGGCTGCTCAGACACAGAGCCGTCTGCCGACCCGCCCAAACAGACAAGCTATTTTTTCCTAGAAATAACATGTGGGAGTTTAACTTCTTTCCAAAGAAGTGGTTACATAAGCCAGAGAGTTAACAGCTGAGGCAATTGACCTGCTTCTGTTCCCTGAATTGTCTAAAGGTCACTCCATTGCCCACTGGTGACAATGAGCTCAGCTCCCTACTGTCCTCTCCTCTCCCCTCCCCTTCCCTCCTCTTTCCCCTTCTCTTCTTCTTCCTGTCTCTTCCCCACCTCCTGAGCTGCCCTTTGCCCTCTGAACTCAGAGCTGAGTGGCCAGAGGCGGAGGGTAAATAGCCCTGCGGCTGCAGTCTTTGGCTTCAAACTCCGCGTCTCTCTGGTTTCCTGCCTCACCAGCTCCATCCCTCTCCCGGGGAGTCATAGCTTGTAGTCTCAGAGCAGGGGCCTGTGGGAGGAGGCAGAATCCTTAGACACCTGATAGGAGCCAGGCACCTTCATTGGCTATCTCTCCGGAGCTACTCCACATGCTGCACGGACATGGAAACAGGCTCGGAGAGGTTTGTGCTGCCTTGTCACCTGCCGGCAACCACAAGTGGCCACAAGGAAATCCTGTCCAGGTCTCTGCAGCTCTGAGGCGCGCATGGCTCTCCCCACCAGGAGCCCTTTCGGGCAGACGATAGAAGAGGTGGAAACAAGTACCTGGTCAAGCTGGCAGAGGCTGAGAAGAACATTCTATTTTTCTCTGGGCTTTGCACCAACACCTACCAGGGCCATCTAGCTGCAGCTCTGCTCTGTGTGCCCTCTCTGCACGAGCCTTCCTGCCACCAGGCACGCCGTGGAGAGCTTGGCCCTGCGCCACATCATTGACAGACCAGCAGCAGCGCTGGGGTCTCTGATGGGCCCAGGGCTCCTTCCTGCGCTTCTACTTGGGGGTGGACAGGAAATACAGGAAAAGGAGCCTGCCTTCCAGCCCCTCTGAGTGCTGCGGGCTCCCCAAGCAGGAGGGAGGGTGCACGCTGACCGCACAGCACCTCACACCCATCACGGCTTCCCACCTAGGAGCAGGCACACTGAGCTCCTCACCTGCGCTCTGTCACTTCCTTGCTGTGTGACCATGGGCAAGCCCATGCCCCTCTCTGTGCCCAGTTCTCCATGGGGAAAACTTGCAAGAATATAGGCCATACCTCAACATGTGAGAGGGAGCACAGAGCGTAATTATGTGTGATGGGTGCTCAGGAAATTGCCCAAAGCGGAGGTCAGAAGGCTAGCAGAGGGGAGAACGGAAAGCAGGCCATGTTGGGGGCAGTGGGGGGCGGTCTGGGCACCCCTGGCCCTCCGAGACTTACAGGAGCTTTGCTTTTCAGACCTGAAGGCAGAAGGAATGGCATTTCTCCCAATTCTGGGCCTCCTGGTGGCTGGCCTCTGCCCCTCTGTCCACGGCCTCCCAGGGGGCAAGCTTCACCCAGGGGTTGTGACCCAGGAGGACCAACACCACCACGCACCTGTGGACAACCTCAGATTAGCTCCCGTCCACGCCGACTTTGCCTTCAGCCTCTACAAGCACTTGGCTTTGAGGAACCCCAATGAGAATGTCATCTTCTCCCCATTGAGCATCTCCATTGCCCTGGCCTTCCTGTCCCTGGGGGCTCGAGGCACCACCCGGACTGAGATCCTCAAAGGCCTCAAGTTCAACCCCACAGACATCTCTGAGGCAGAAGTCCACCGGAGCTTCCAGCATCTCCTGTGCACCCTCAGCCAACCCAGCAACTCACTGCAGCTGAGCGTGGGCAACGCCCTGTTCATCGATGAGCGGATGAGGCTGCTGTACAACTTCAGGGACGACGCCGAGGTGCTGTACGCCTCCGAGGCTTTCTCTACTGCCTTCCGGGATCCCGCCGCTGCAAAGAAGCTCATCAATGACTACGTGATGGAGAAAACCCAGGGGAAAATTGTGGATTTGGTCAGTAACCTTGACGTAGGTGTAGTGATGGTCCTGGTCAATTACATCTACTTTAAAGGTGAGTGCTGGTGTGGGGTTCGGAAGGAAACAGAATGTATTTCTCAGCCTTCAGGGCTATTGCTGTCCTGGTGGAACAACCTTTGTTACCAGGGAAACGGCTACTGAGGAGGGTGCCCTTGGCTCGTGTGGGGATGAGGAGAGAGGACACGGGCACCGGTGCCCGCCCTGCCCATGGGCGTTGTCTTCTCTTGGGTATTTCCACGTTAATTTGTCATTCCAGGGCATAACAACCAAGGAGCCCATGAACCCTTGGTCTAGCCAGAGTGGTGCTTTTTACCTGACTAAACTTGCCCCACTCCCAGAAGGAAGGGGCTGTCCTTCCAAATCACTCCTCCTGGGCGGAAACTCGAGCTTCTCCCTGAAGAGAGGCTTCGGACTCGCTCAGGCCGGCCCTCTGCCGGTGCCCATCGCCTGACCTGGGAAGGACCCTCTTCGGTGGGTCCACCGCCGAGTCCCATAGACAGGAGCTCAGCAAATGCAGACGGCATCCCAAGGGGCAGAGTGCAAGCTGATAGGTTCTGCCTGATGGAGTGAGCAGGCCCAAGGGGGACAGAAGGACGACAGGGACCCAGAGATCGATCAGGAGTCAGAGGGTGGGAAGGTCCCCGAGGCACATGAGCTGAGTGGAGGCACAGAGAGAGCCCTGTGCTGGGGGCTCCTGGCTGGGGCCTGGGCGAGCCTTCCTGGGGCTCTTTGCACCCGCAGAGGAGGACACGAAGCCCATCCCTCTGTGAAGGAATCCAGGGCTCACTGCTGTGTGTGCTCCTTGAGCCTCTGTTTCCCTTCCTGCCACGCTGCCCTAGCCTGGGACTCTCCCCCAAATTCTCCTAGCCAGGGCACACCAGCCCGTCCAGCTTCCCCCCCTCTCCTGCTCCTAGCAACAGAGACTCGGGGACGCGAAGGCGAGAAAACCAAGGGGAAAGTGGAGATGGCCACACATTTCCAAGGAAGCCCCGGGTCTCAAATTTGGGATGTTCTCCCCAGGAATCCACACACCCCACTGAGTGCTGCTATTCTCCGAGTGTGGGGGAGACGCCCGGCCCCTGTCCTGAGTTGACCTTGGCCCTGCCCTCTGCGTCCCCATTGGGCAGAGGCTGCAGCCTGTTTCACGAGCCCCAGGGGCATGTGCCCACCCTGCACCCAGCGAGGAACTATTGGTTCAGCCTTTCAGCAAGCAGGGTTTCCCTCTTCCCCCAGGCCCAGGCCCCTCATGCCTCCATGCCCCCCCTTTCCCTAGCCCCTGTCTCTCTCGTGCATTTCCTCTGCCCAGATTCCTGTGGGTTTCCCACTGAGCACAATTAACCAGGCCTTCCATGCATGGCCACTGTCTGGTCCATACCTGTGGGGCTTCCCGACCTGCCAAGGTGTTTAGCAAAGCAGGGCCTGGCCACTCGTGAGAGGAGCTGCGGATCGGCTGGTTGGATGCAGAATGTCTTCACTGCCCAGGGCACGTGCGCACAGGAGGGGTGGGTCCGGGCAGCCCCCGACTCACAGAGCTCTCCCACCCCTGCTTCCCCTTAGCCAAGTGGGAGACGCCCTTCGACCCCCAGGATACGCGCCCGTCCACGTTCTCGCTGACTGATGGAAGGTCAGTGATAGTGTCCATGATGAAGACTTCGGACCTGACCACGCCCTACTTCCGGGACGAGGAGCTCTCCTGCACGGTGGTGGAGCTCAGGTACAACAGCAACTACAGCGCGCTCTTCATCCTCCCGGACGAGGGCAGAATGAGGACCGTGGAGGCTGCTCTGGCCCCCGAGACACTGACGCGGTGGAGAGAGTCACTGCGGATGACGTGAGTATCCCGGACCAGGGTGCAGGCCATCCCCTCTCTTCCCCAGCCGCCCACCGCCCCGCACTCTGGTGTCACTGAGGGCTGGGTGGGCTGCCCTGGGGGGACCAGCCAGTGTGGAGTCACCTTGCCCTGTGTGGCTTCAGACCTGAATTCTTTCCTTCACTGAGAGGGTAACATTAGCTGGGACAGGAGCTAGGCTGCTCTGACTCTGACCTGCTCCTCGTCACAGGGATCCTCAGCACAGACCCCAACTCGTGCGTGTTCTCTCCTTCTCTCTGCCTCTCGAGGGTAGAGGGACAGGAATTGTGATTGGTCGCAGGTAGTAGTGAGACAGGCTCTGGGAAGCAGCTTTACACTGGCTCTTTCTTTCTTTCTTTCTTTCTTTCTTTCTTTCTTTCTTTCTTTCTTTCTTTCTTTCTTTCTCTTCTCTCTCTCTCTCTTTTCTTTCTTTCAACTGTTCAGCATTTTTTTCTTTATCTAATTTTTAATTTTTAAAAAAATTATCTTTATTGTTGAATGTATTGCAGATGATCCTTCTTTTTCCCCTATTGACCCCCTCCTCCCTGCTCCCACCCCCCTCCTGCCTTTCCCCACACTGTTGTCTGTGTCCATTGGTTGTGCATATATGCATATAAGTTCTTTGGTTTATTTCTTCCCACCCCCCACCCCCTTCCCTTTGAAGTTTGTCAGTCTAACAACCAATTTGTACTTCTTAATTCCTTCACCTTTTTCACTCATTCCCCCAACCCCCCTCCCATCTGGCAACCAGCAAAATGTTTCCTGTATTTATGAGAATGTTTCTGTTCTGCTTGTTCATTTTGTTTGTAGAGTCAGTTGCCGATAGATATGTATTTATTGCCATTTTGTTCGTTTATATTTTTTATCTTCTTTTTCTTCAAGAAGACCCTTCAACATTTCATATACTAATGGTTTGGTGGTGATGAACTCCTTTAGCTTTTTCTTGTCTGGGAAGCTGTTTATATGTCCATCGATTCTAAATGATAACTTTGCAAGATAAAGTAATCTTGATTGTAGGTTCTTGCTTTTAATCACTCTGAATATTTCTTGCCACTCTCTTCTGGCCTGCAAAGTTTCTTTCGAGAAATCATCTGACAGTCTTATGGGAGCTCCCTTGTAGGTAACTAGCTGCTTCTCTCTTGCTGCTTTTAAGATTCTCTTTGTCTTGAACCTTTTGCATTTTGATTATGATGTGTCTTGGTGTGGGCCTCGTAGGGTTCATTTTGTTTGGGACTCTCTATGCTTTCTGGACTTGTATGTCTGTTTTCTTCACCAAGTTAGGGAAGTTTTCTGTTGTTATTGTTTCAAATAGGTTTTCAATTTCTTGTTCTCTCTCTTCTCCTTCTGGCACCCCCATGATGCGAATGTTGTACACTTGAAGTTGTCTCAGAGGCTCCTTACACTACTCTCATATTTTTAAATTCTTTTTTCTTTTTGCTGCTCTGATTGGTGTTTTTTGCTTTCTTATATTTCAAAGCAATGGTTTACTTCCTTTATTACGTACTCTACTATTGAATCTCTGGAAATTATACTTTATTTCAGTTAGTGCATCCTTCATTTCTGACTGGTCCTTTCTTATGCTCTTGAGGTCCTCACTAAATTCATTGAAGTTCTACTAAGTTCATTGAGCATCCTTATAAGCAGTGTTTTGAACTCTGCATCTGTTAGATTGCTTATCTTCATTTTGTTTAGCTATTTTCCTGGAATTTTGTTCTGTTCTTTTCTTTGGGACATGTTTCCTTGTCTCCTCATTTTGGCTGCCTCCCTGTGTTTGTTTCTATGTAGTAGGCAGAGTTATTATGTCTCCTGGGCTTCCTAGGGTGGCCTATTATAGTAGGTGTCCTGTAGGGTCCAGTGGCACAACCTCCCTGGTCTCCCAGCTGGGCCCTCAAGGTGCACCCCTCATGTGGACTTTACACTCTTCTGTTGTAATGGAGTCTTGATTGCTGTTGGCACATCAGTGAGAGGGTTTTACTCAGGCTGCTCAGCTGCAAGGACTCACTGTGCCTATTATCCACTGACTTTTGTCCACCTTGGATGATCAGCTGTGCAGGGGCCCACCACACAGAGCAAGACTTACTTCATCAGGGCTCTAGTACACACTGAGTTCACTCCTTGAGTGTGTCACTTATGGAGGTGGTTGGGTGGTGGTGCTTTGAAGTGTTCTGAAGCTGTCCACTGGGTGTGCTGGCTCTGGGGCAAGGTCAGCCACTGCCTGTGCTCTGTCCAGGGCACCGCCAGCATGCAGGGTCGGGCTGACGGGAATGGACAGATAATGAATTAAGAAGAGTGAGCACAGGGGTCAGGAAAGTGAGGAAAGAAATACTTATTTCAAGCACGAAGGCCGAGGTCGAAAAGACACCAGTGGAGACCGCACTGTGAGTGGGAGACAGGTGGGCCCTGAGTCAAGCAGGTGTTCACATTTATTTTTCTCATTTCTAGACAAATAGGCCTGTACCTGCCAAAGTTTTCCTTCTCCAGTCACTATGATCTGGAACGCACACTCCCTGAGCTGGGCATAAGGACAGTCTTCCAGAACCAGGCTGACCTGTCAGGTATTGCAGGTGGCAAGGACCTGAAGGTCTCTCAGGTGAGTCTTTAGTGCATGGACAAGTCCCCCACCTGCAGGAGCTGGAAGGAGGAAGGCCAGGCACACCCTTGGGGAAGCTTGAACTTGCCTACAGAAGTGCATTTCTCAGTCTCCAACCACCCTCCCTGCGGCTCTGCCAAGCCCAGGAGAGCTGGTTTCTGAAGGTCCTGGGGGCTGGTCCGCACCTCCCTGTGATCTCCTGTCACAGAAGCTGGTGACGGGAAAAAGCCTGTGGTGGAATCAGCGGTGACCCCCACCCCGGCTCCACCTTTTACTGCCTGTAGGGTATAGAATCAAAGGCCTCCTCCCCAGGTTTTCACGGGTAAACGGGGTGATAGGTCCTGGGCCCTGTGCAGTACGTGGGTGAGCAGGTAAGAGGGAGGAGGTAGTAACCATGGCTCTGGGGCAAATGTGATGAAGATTCCCTAAGAGAATGGAAGATACCGGACCCCTACACTGCATTCCCAGAAGCAGAGTAGTCAGGTTAAGGGGAGCAGCAGGGCAGCCCTCCCCTCTGCACCCCACCTTGCAGAGGCTTGGCCATGGGGGGTCAAGTGCAGGAGTGGTGGGAGGCTGCATGGTGTGAGGATGGGGAGCCACATCCTCTGCAAAGCAGCCCTGCCCCCGGACATTTGAGCTGGGCAGGGGAGGCGCAGAGAGCTGGCCAGCTCCGCCCTCCCCCGGGAGGTCCTAGCAAGCCTGTGCATCAGCTGCTCGAGGTGGAGGGTCTGGAAAGGAGCTTGCAGGAAACGGCCCACACCGCCCTCGACCCCGACAAGAGGGGGGTGTGGGGGCAGCACGGTCCCTGGGCTCAGACAGAGGGCATCCAGACCAGGGTGCCCCTCCTCTGCCCTGGGCAGGTCAGCCACAGCCCTGAGCCTCAGTGTGCCCCTCTGGGCACCAGGACCGTGACAACCTGATGACAGGGGTGTTGGGAGGAATAGGCAAAGTGAACAAGTTGATCAGCACGGGGACAGGTCAATGGTAGACGCTCGAAAAATGTCAGTGCCCATAGAGGCACACAGGCAGGATACTTACCTCCTGCCTACCCCTCCTGTGGTGGGTAATGCCCTGCTGTCCTCACAGGTGGTCCACAAAGCCCTGATTGAAGTGGCCGAGAATGGCACGGAAGCAGCTGCTGCCACAGGAATATCAGCGGGCATTACGTCCATAGGAATAGAACCAAGGACCACTGTGAAGTTCAACAGGCCCTTTCTGTTATCCATAGTCTCCAAAAACACGCAGAGCATCCTCTTTTGTGGCAGAGTCGTCCACCCCAATGAAGACAACAGCTCCTCACAAATGGCGAGGATCCTCCGCTAAGGGTGCCTGGGTGTCTGGGTGCACCGAGGAGCTGCGCACCTGGCCCAGCCAGCTCACGGTTGGGACAGTGACAGACCACCTGGTGGCTCCTACCTGCACTGGAGGTTGTTCATCAGAGGACCTGGAACCTCTCGACAGCAATAAACCCTCTTCCTTGCGATGGGCGTGTTCCTTGTCCTTTCCATTGATCTGAGGGGCTCCATGCCCTGGGCCCAGCTCCCAGACCTCCCTAACGGGCTCAGTGCCACTGCCCCGGCCCTGGGTCCCTGGGCCTTCACCTTCAGGAGCCTGGACAGGACCCAGCCACCTGGACCTCAGCTGAGGACTAGGAGGTGCACCTGTGGCCCGATTCCTACTCTCTGGGCTCTCTGGTCCCCAGTTCCAGTGTCACGGTCTCCCTCCCGCAGGGTCTGCCCACGTGCTGACCCTTGCGGGGGCTCCCAGCCCTGAGCACATCTGGCACAGCCCTGGACCCCTTCTTTCCACAGCTGAGCTGGGCCCTCCTCATTCCGGGATCTCCCCCTTCGGACCCCAGCACTCCCAGCCTGGGGAGAGTGACTACCTTCCAGGTTCCCAGTTCTGAACCTCCCCCGACAGGTGGTCCCCCAGCAACCAGAATGAGGGCCTGGGGACAGAGGAGCAACACACACAGCGGCAATGAACGCGAACACTCAGTCGTGGTCCGAAGCTGTGGGGGCGCCGGGGGTCACGCAGGCACCAGGGGCGATGTCGACGACAAACAGAGTTGAGATCTTCCTGCCAGGCCGGCTGCGAAGACTCACTCAGTCCTGTGAGGACCCCGAGACAGACGCTGTTACTGTGGTAATTCATAGATGAGGAAGCCGAGGAGCACAGCAGGATGCTCTCCCAACCTGCTGGGCATCACACAACCCTCTAAGCCACAAGGAGACCCTGCCCTTAAAGACGTTCACAGTGATGGCCCTCAGGGGACTTACAACTTGATGGGCACCATAGATCTTAAAACAAGGCCTGAGACTCTGAGAGCACCACTGTCGGCCGGGGCGTCAGGGAAGGCTCCCTGGAGGAGGTGACTTCTATCCTGAGAGTAGAGGAAGAGTAGAAGATGGTTAAGGAAATAGAGAGGAGAATGTTCTGGGCAGGACAGAGTCCGACAGAAGTTGGGCAGGGCTGGGGAGGGGCTGATGCAGGGCTGAGGAGCGGAAGGGGCGTGGATTAGCAGCTGGATTCCGAGGGCAGGGCAGCTCAGGAAGGAGCCTGGGAGGGTTCCCTGGAGCCAGGGGCAGCTTTCGAGGAGTTTATGCAGAGAGTTGATGTGAGCAGATGTTCACAGTAGAAAATGCCTCCAACTGCCGTGCAAAAGTGATGCAGTCCCCGCCCAGGGATGCAGCTGCGCACTGAGGGGCTGTAGCAGGAACCGAGGCAAAGACGGGTCCCAGCTGGAGAGGGCGTGTGGGGCCGATGCCCCGGCTGGGGGAGAACCAGTGTGTCGTTGTGTGTGTGGGGGGGTAACCCACAGTCGGCTTCGGCTCCTGGTGACGAGAAACAATCCCATGAGCTCAAACACCAGGAAGAGCAGGGTTGGGAGGAGAAGCTGACACACTCAGATTTGGACACACTCAGATCTGAATACACTCGAAACCCTATGGGCCCCGGGACACAGGCGAGGGATCTGTTCAGGGGGAAATCTGGGGTGAACGGGGCAGTCAGGATGGTCCCCTGGGACGGGAAGGGGAGGGGTTCCACACGGGGTAAAGAGAAGGGCAATTCTCTGCTGAGGGGTCCGCTGAGAGAGGGCAGCCCACCCAGGGAGAGGGCAGTAGGGAGGTGGACTGGAAGGAAGCTGTTACCCCAGGGCCAACAGAAGAGTAACCAAGGGGCCAGGGATGGGCCTTAGGGGTCAGGTGGGGAATGAATGGGTCCATGGGGTGTCGCGGTGTCTCCCAGTATCTCAGTGCGTTTCAGGTCACTCTTATTTGACTTAATAATGGTCCCCAAGCGCAAGAGCAGTGATGAGGGTCCGAACGCGGAGGTGCCAACGAGAAGCCATAAAGTCCTTCCTTTAGGGGAAAAGTGACAAGTTCTCAACTTCATAAGAAAAAAAAAATCATGTGCTGAGGTTGCCGAGATCTACGGGAAGAACGCCCCTCCTACCAGCGCGATCGTGAGGAAGAAAACAGCGATGCGTGCTGGGCTCGCTGTCACCCGCCTCTGCACACGCCTCTGTCACAGGTGGGCACGTCAGTGAGACGCGGAGAGACCGCACTCACGTGCCTTCCGTCACCACACATTGCTAGACACGTCTATTGTATTATTAGTTATCGTTGTCGATTCGTTATTTTAGTTCGTAAATTAAACTTCCACCTAGGTGTGGATGTGTAGGAGAAAACACAGTATTGGGGCCAGTCCTGAGTTGTGTCAGGCACCCACCCGGGTCTTGGGATGTATCCCCGTGGACAAGGGGGGGGGGCTGCAGTATTAACTAAACGCCATGTGTAGATCTGGTTTGGAGCCTAATTTAAACAAACTAACTGTAAAAGAAAAACTTGGGGTGCCGATCAGGGACACAATGACTTCAAATTTGATGATAGTAATGAATTCTGGGTTTTTTAAGGTGTGATAGATACTGTTGTGGCTAGGATCTTAAAAAATTCGTGTAGAGGAAACGATGTGTCGGATTTGCTTCAACATATTAGGAAGGGCAAAGGGATTGGGTGAAGAACATGGCATTGTCCCCAAGCCGACAATAACTGAAGCTCTGATTGGGTACTTGGGGTTCACTATGCCATTCTCTTTATTGTTGTATATGTTTCAATTCTTCCATAATCTAAATTTGAAGCAAACAAAGATCCCCGAGAGTTGGATTATGCCTTATTCCTTGGTACTGAGTGAATCTTCAGCGTGTGCTGGGTACTCTGAAGTGAGTGAACAATGAATGAATGAACGAACGAATGAATGAATGATAGGTCTCTGCTGTATTCTTCGTTGAGTGAATATCAAGAGAAAGAATTGAAAATCCTGATATGTCAGCAAGAAGTGACTGTGTGGCCCCGGCTGGATGGCGCAGTCAGTTGGAGCGTCATCTGTACGCCAAAAGGGTTATGGGTTCGATTTGCGGTCCGGGCATGTACCTAGAATTTGGGGCTCATATGGGAGGCAACCCATCGATGTTTCTCTTTCCCTTCGAAGTTTCTCTTTCTCTCCCTCTCCCTTCCTGTGTCTCTCTGATCAAGGGAAATATCCTCGGGTGAGGATTAAAAGAAAAAGAAGAAACTGGGTGCGTGTTTATGTGTAGGCAGTGGGTGGGGAGAATAAAAATAAAGTAATAAACAAATCTGGGAGAAAATTAAGCCCGGCTCACACTCATCAGCTCACATAAATCCTGCTCTGCACTCAGTCAGCAGGTCACCTTTGTCCCCTTCCTGCCACCAAGCCCACGTAGGGTAGGGAAGGTATTTAAGTTGCACAAGTTTCGCAAATACTCTTTCCGTTGAGCACATATTAACTTTTTTGTTTGTACTGCATTAAGTGGCGAGGTCTATTGACATCTCTGAAGAAGCAGTCACCGTAATTTGAAAAGCATTATAAGCACCATGAACAGGAATCGTGGCATTTCCAAGAGCCTGAGCCCGAACTCCGTGGAGGCAGAAAGTGTGACCTGAGGAGCACACCCTCCAGCAGGACGTAGGTGTCCAGAGACGCCTGGCCGATGGCAGGATGAAACCAGGAGAGGCTGGAGCCCGGCTCCAGGGAACTAGCCTTTCCCCAGATTCAAAGAAGGTCCACATGCATCTAGGTTCAACCTTCGGGGCAACCTTGAGTGCTGAGGGAGGCAAAGGAGGGTCTGACCTAGCAGAGGGCCGTGCTGCAGTGACGGGAGTGAGACTCCCGTCCAGGACGCCAGCCCCACCGCGCCCCTGAGCTCCGTGGTGCATGGATTTTCACACAACCCCCATTGGTTATGTTGACGGTTGACATCGGGCCACGGGCAGCCACCGTACAGTCTGTTAATCCCGGAAGTCCAACCTGTCACGATCCTCCCCACAGGGACAAATTCCTGTGTTCAGGGCCACGCAGACCCGCTGAATCTCTCCGGCTCCTTTGAAGGTTCACGGAAAACATTCGATTGCGGTGAGTGGGGAGCTGTGATGGGGCTGGAGTCAAGGGCCCCCAGCCAGCTCGGTGAACCTGCCACAAGTCACGCAGGTGCACGCACACAGGACGCGCACACAGGACGCGCACACAGGACACACGCACCCTCCTGCTCCAAGGGCTGCACATACAGACGACAGTCCGGGGTGCTGGCTCACCCTGCCTCTGTGACCTGGAGCACGCTCTTCCCTCTGCGGAAACCCTCTCCTGGTTCTCTCCCGATCCGTCCTCCAGTCTCAGTTCCTCCCTGGAGACTTCCAGGAACTCCCTGCATCGGCCGTCACCTCTGACTGCCATCGCTCAGACAGCTGTCATCAGCTCTGTAGTTCCGTCTCTCCCCAGGGCTGGCAAGCTTCTTCCAGACAGGGCCCAGGCTGCCAGTGCCCGTGTCCTGCCCACCCAGTGTTTGTTGAGTAAGTCACCATGTGAGGGAACAAGCTTCTCTCTGCGCCGCAGTTTTCCACCTGTACGATGCTCGAATTGGACGCGGCAGCCTGGCGGCTCGAAAGCTCTGTGGTTTGGGGGACCTGCCCGTGTAACGTGCTGCATGAATTCTCTGTGCCTGTGCCCAGTGAGCCTGATTCCCTGAGGGAGCAACCTTGTCTCATCCATGTTGCCTCCCTAGCACGTAGCGCGGGTCCCAATAGAATTTTGGTCCGTGTTTGTTCAGTGGATGGATGGATGGATGGATGGGTGGATAGATGGATGGATGGATGAATGAGCAAATGAATAACGTTAAATGGAATAAGGAAATGAACTTTTCATCAAAGCTGAGATATTCACGAAAGCAAATCAGCAGGCAAATGGAGACCTGTTTGTCCTCTGCCGATGCATAGATGATGTGGCTTTCCTCGAGGCTCAGCTTCAGCTGCTTCTCCATTCCAGATACAAGAGCTCAGGTTTAGAAAGATCCAGGACTGCCCAAGTCACATGGAAAATCAGAGGCAGGATAGGGTGATGTGATGATGATTAATTCTGTCAATAATTCCCTGAACCCAGAGCGGACAAATGGGGTCAGCTTAGGCCCTTACTAAAACAGATTCTACGGTCGAGTGGAATCTGCTGAGTCAGAGTCATTGGAGGGGAGGCCTGGTCTCCAGGGTCATAATATCTGCTGCTTCCTGGGGGCGCTTCCTGTGCCAGGCCCTGGCCAGAGTCAGCTTGGTACACGATCGCTTTGAAATTCTACAACCCTGTGACAGGGGGGTTCTTAGCCCCATCCCACAGAGAGGAAGTGAAGTGACTTGACCGGTGTCTCCGGGCTCCTACGTGACAGCACGGGCTGAGCTGAGTGAGCCCAGGCTGCCAGGACGCGCCCCTGCCCGGGGAGGGGCCTGCCGCGTCTCCCCCCTCCGGAGCTCTCTGCTGGCCCAAGAGCGTGCCTGGGGTCACGTCCCGTCTGGGTGTGGCAGAGCCAGGACTGAAGAGGTGTCCGCTGGAGGAGGGATCTCCCACGAGATCCATTCTCTGCCTCTCTGCATGTGAGCAGGAAACAGGAGAGTGGGAAGGGCGGGGACACAGGGCGGAGGGGGTCTTCCCAGGCCACAGACGTGGCTGGAGAAGCTTCAGCTGACTCGAGATCTGTGGCCTCTGCATTGCTGCCCCTGGGGGCAAACAGCCCCCGTGTGCACGCTGGGGCCAGGGCGCTCCCAGGGGGTGCACAGCCACCAAGAGCTTCTGTCCACCCAGGATGTCTGCTTGGGTGATCCTTTCATCTCATCATGAGTCAACCCCACCCACCCCCACCCAGGCTCTGGGTTCAAGTTCTGACTCCACCACCTACCAGTTGTTTGACCTTGGGAGACTTACTTAACCTTTTCAAGCGTCTTTTTTTCTATCTGTCCAATGGGGGTGTAAAAACAGTGCCTCCGCCGTCGGGCTGTGGTGACGATGGAGAGAGGAAGTGTTTGCACGGTGCCTGGCACAGAGCAGCCACACTGTGAGTATCATGACAATTACTGTTGTCCCTCGTCCCTGCTTCCAGACCGAGGACACCAGAGGATGGAGGCCCCTCGGTGGTGGCTGCTGGTCCCTGTGCTCATGGCTGCGGATCACTGTCTGGCCCTGGTTAACCGAGAAGATTCAGATGCCGTTGACCTCGGCCCCCAGGACACCCCTCCCAGGCCTTCCCTGCCCTGCCACAAACTTTCCGTGAGCAACATAGACTTTGCCTTCAACCTCTACAGACAGTTGGCTTTGGATGCCCCTGGAGAGAACATTCTCTTTTCCCCAGTGAGCATCTCCTTGGCCTTGGCCATGCTCTTCCTCGGAGCCCCTGAAGCCAACAGGGCACAACTCCTGGAGGGTCTGGGGTTCAACCTCTCCGTGGTGCCTGAGGCCGAGATCCAGGAGGGCTTCCAGGACCTGCTGCTCAGGCTCCCTGTGCAGAGCCCCCCGCTCCTCCTGACTCTGGGCCAGCGCAGGTTCGGTGGCCTGGACACTGGGACCACCCGGGACCCGGTGGGGGCCCAGAAATGCATCCACGAGTATGTAGAGAAGCAGACCCAGGGGAAGCTTGGGGCCTGGGTGGAGGAACTCAGGAATGAAACTGCAGCAGTCCTTGTGAATCACATGTTCCTGAGAGGTAAGAAAGCGTATATCCAACGCGGAATCTCCTTCCGGGGCCTGGGGCTCCAATCACACTGCAGCCCTGCTCCTCACATCATCCAGAGAGCCTCCCCTGCTGACTTAGATATAGGAAGTCCTTGATGTTTCTGCTTGAATACCTCCAGTGGTGGGGAACTCATCACCTATCCCATTTTACTGCTAGTGGTCAAGTTTTTTCAAAGAAAGATTTTTCCCACTGTAGTGTGCATACGTACTACCTGAGAAACTTGTTTAAAATGCAGGTACCCATCCTGGCCGGTTTGGCTCAGCGGTTAGAGCGTCAGCCTGGGGACCAATGGGTCACAGGTTCGATTCCTGTCAAGGGCATGTACCTCAGTTGTGGTTCATCCCTGGCCCTGGTCAGGATATGAGGGAGGCAATCAGTCGATGTGTCTCTCTCACATGGATGTTTCTCTCTCTCTCTCTCCTTCTCACTCTATATGAAGATAAACAGAAAAATATCCTCGGGTGAGGATTAAAAAATAAATAAAATAAAATGCAGGTACCCTGTACTTATCCCCAGAAGATTCTGATCTAAGGGACAGGTAGGTCAGGGACACAGGAGCCTACCTTGGAAGCTCTCCTTCCTTACCCGGCAGGTGCTTCTGCTGCAGGAGGGCTGTGGTCGCCACTTTGAGTCACCCTGTAAGCAACACTGAATCAAGGAGCATGAATTCTCTTCCTCTGGTACGTCCCAGGAGGCCTGGATTAGGGCAGGGAGAACCCCAAGGAGAGAGAGGTCCCTTATTTTTTTCCAGAAGAGCCAATAAGATTATATGCCTCGCTCCTTAATCACCTCCTTAACTCAGCAGAAGAACCCAGCCGCCCTTGTGTTTGTATAGTGCTCCGCGAGTCTGGAGGCGTTGCCACACCCTTCATCTCGTTTGACTTTCTCACCTGGATGAAGTAGGGAAGGCTAAGACACTGTTCCATTTTACAGATGAGAAGACAGATTTTTTTTAAAAGGAGTGATTTGCCTGAGTCTCTAAGGCATTACTCAACATGCCTCTGAATAGTTATGGTATGTTCTATGTAAGCGTGTTTGCGCGCACACACAATCTAAATATGAAGTCCCTATTATCATGCCAGCCACTGTGCAGATTTTATTTTTACTGAATTCTCTGGGCAACCCAACAAGGTGGATATTATTATGTCCACTTGAGAGCTGAGAAAACTGAGGCACAATGTTGGGTAACTTGCCTCAGACCTGCAAGCCAGGCAGAGCCTCACCTTCAGATCCACACACGTGTTCAGAGCAGCTTGTACCACCTGATGTGATTTTTCCCTTGAAAATTAGCCACCTCTGAAAGAGATTAAGACGACCAGAGAGCGAAATAGTATTCACACTGTCACAATGCTGGTGTTATTGTGATAGTATTAACCCCATTTCCCAAACGAGGAGGCGGAAGCTCAGGGCGGTCAAGGGTCTGGTCCCCGGGGCTGCACAGGCAGTAAAGGCCAGGCCAGGACGGGGTTATGAAGCTGGGCGTGGCGTCTGAACTGTGGACCCTCCCCACCCCTATGGGCTGCCGGATGGGTGACCCCCGAGCCCACTCTTGATGCTCCGCAAGGTGACATCGGTGTTTCTCTTCCCTCAGCCGGGTGGGCGCAACCCTTTGACCCGAGCGCCACCAGCCCAAAGGAGTTCTTTGTGGACGAGCGAAGGACCGTGTGGGTGCCCATGATGCGGCAGAAGGCGCGCCACCGCTTCCTGCACGACCCTGAGCTGCAGTGCACCGTGCTGCAGCTGGACCACGCCGGGAACGTCACCACCTTCTTCGTCTTCCCCAACCGGGGCCACATGGCGCAGCTGGAAGACGCCCTGCTGCCTGAGACACTGATCAAGTGGGACACTTTGCTCAGGTCAAGGTAGACGCACAGCAGGGTGCGGGGAGACGGACCCGCCTCCTTGCTGCCACCATCAGTGCGCTCAGTGATTGCCTCCCTGAGACACTGTCACCTCCCAGAGTGCTGCCATTCCTGGGGCATTATCACCGCAGGACACTGTCCCCTTTCAGAGCATGTCAACCCCTCAGGGCACTGTCAGTCACCCCCAGGTACTGTCGCCCCAGGGCACTGTCACCCCAGGGCACTGTTCCTGGCCTCCTTGCAGGTGTCAGGGTGGGGTCTCAGGGTGGGGCCTGGTCGACTGCACTGGGCCAGGTGTCTGGAGGCTGCTTCTAGTCCCAGTTCTGGTGACAACGGCCCCTCGATGGGCAGAGTTCCAGCCTGAAGCAGGGGGAGACCAAGGGTCCTGGACAGCAGTTGAGAACAGTGTGCCCATTAGAAAGCTCTCTTCCCAGAGAGGAGGCGCAAGGGGCCGAGAGACCGGGGTGCCAGCAAGGGCGAGAAGGCTGCAGGCCTGGGCGGCGGGGGGCGGAGGCGCCCTTCCGGGGTCTCGACAGCAAACCAATCCTGTCTCTCCACAGAGAACTCGATTTCCGTTTCCCCAAAGTTTCCATTTCCAGCACCTCCAGACTGGAGCTGCTCCTCCCCCGAGTGACTGTGGGTGGAGGCCTCCCTGGGCAGCCTGGACTGAACATCTCCAAGGTCAGGTAGACCGGTTTCGGGGTGGTGGTGGGGTCTCCGTGGCTTTGGGCCACTACTGGAAGGAGACGTCCAGTATCTCCTTAGACGGGAGCTGCTGTTCTCCATAACTTTGCAAGTTACCCTTTGCTCTCTGCATCCACTCCACATGATCGCACACCAACCCGCACAAGACCTTGGGGTCCCAGGGGAACAAGTCCCCCTCCTGCCCTCAGGTGACAGGCAGGGAGAGAGAAGGCCGGGATGGACACACACACCATCAGGGCAGGAAGTACAGAGGATGCTCCTGGGGGGGGGGGGTCATTCCTGATCTCGGGCCCATGGGACAAGCTATGTAAAGAAGGGACTGAGCCCAGCTGTGTGGCTCAGTGGACTGAATGCCGTCCCAGGGACTGAGAGGTCCCGGTTCGATTCCCGGTCAGGGCACATGCCCTGGTTGTGGGTTCGATCCCCAGGAGGGGTATGCAGGAGGCAGCCAATCGATATGTCCCTCTCATGTCGATGTTTCTATCTCTAGCTCCCTTCATCTTTCTTTAAAAAGTCGATAGACATATATTTTTTTATAAAGAAGAAGAAGACACTGAGAGGGAACATGGGGACAGCCTGGGAGGAGAGGCTCGCGCCCCGGGAGCTGAGAAGCCCTCTGGGTGGAGCCGAGAACCCGGGGACCCCGGAAGCCCTGCTGATGACCTGGGCCTCCATCCTGAGGCCAATGAGACCCGCTGGGGACTCTAAACATGACCACATTTGTGCTCTAGAAAGATCTGTGGAGGAGCACAGGTCAGACCCGGCCCTCGGGACTGAGGACGGAGGGGGGTGTTCGGAGCGGGGGCCCTGGGGTCACAGGAGGAAGAGGAGGGAGCGTAGCCCACAGGACGCCGGCCTCTCCTCCTCACCCCTCTGTGCAGTGTTCGCTGAGCACGGCCCCTGCCAGGCAGCACGCACGGTCCACCCTGACTACCTGCTGTCATTCCCCCTCCGCAGCTGGGGAAACTGAGGCTGAGAAAGGCTAAGATAGTCACTCTAGGCCACAGCTGTTGGTTAGTGTGAAGCCAAGTCAAGTCGCTGAGCACCAAGGCCTGCCTTCTTTCTCGCAAACAGCCCTGGGCCCCGTGGCCTCCTTGTCACACATTCTAGAAGGGACAGTGGAGGGTGAGTGAGGGAGCGTGGGCTCTGAGGTTGAACAGACCCGAGTCCGAGCCCTGGCTCGGTCCCTCCTGGCTGTGGGACCTTGTCACACCACCTTGCTGAGGGGGAAGCAACTTATCCGAGACCACGTCGCCTGGGGCTGTGTGGAGCCAGACCCCCTGACTCAGGTTGGGTGGCCTTCCCCGGACAGCAGTGATACCGAGGTGACATGTGGGCAGAGCCAGGGAAGGTCCCGAGCACAGATCGAGTTCAAGGACAGAGCAGTGAGCAGAACAAGTATAACACAGTGGGGGATGGGAAAGCACAGCAGAGAAACACATACACACACAGCTCGGCGGGCGATGGGGAGTTCTAAGCCCGAAGGCTAGGTGACCCGGTAAGGGAGCGAATGGTGAAGTTCGGGGTAAAGTAAAGAATTTGGGGGAAAAAAAAAAAAAGGGCACAAAAATAAAGGTCTGGTTGAACCCTCCCACAGCATCCACTGATGATTCTGGAATTTCCCTTGCAGGTCACTCACAAGGCTGCGATGTCCCTGGGGGAGGAGGGCTCAGAGGCTGCTGCGGCCACGGACGTCCAGCTCAGTCCCGGGCCGCAGCCTGCCGGTGGCCCCACGCCCGCCGCAGGCACTGAGCTCAGCCGGCCCTTCCTGGTGATGACCTTCCACACAGAAACGGGCAGCATGCTTCTCCTGGGCAAGGTCGTGAACCCGCTGGGGGAATGAGCTGGCGGACCCCAAGGCGAATTCATTTTAAAACGAATTCCCACAGCAACCTAACGAGTATTAGGTTGAACCGTACGAAGCTGGCTCTAGTTGGCCTTCATATGGTTTCACCTAGTATCACGTCTCCCTCCTGACAGCCGAGGCTCAGAACCCGGCACACACGCCCAAGGTCACCCAGCTGGCACCGCGGAGCTGGGGTTCAGGCGTGTTTTATTTCAAAGCCTAGACCCTTTCCATTTTCATCCATGTTGCTAAATTGGCGATTCTCCAACTTGCTTGTGTTCACAGATCGCTTGGCGTTTTGTGAAAACAAACAAACAGCTTTTGATTCAGTAGGTCTGGGCTGGGGCCTGAGGTCCAGCATTCCTCCAAAGGTCCCGGGTTGCTGGGGCTGCTGGCCAGGGGACCGCACTGAAGCAGCAGGCGCTCCGTGCTCGGTCCCCGTGGCCCGTGGAGGGGCTAAGTCGGTGTGGTCAGCAGGGCAGAGCAGTGGCCCCGGCCCCTCAGGGCATCCGCGGTGCCGAGGACAGTTTGAGCAGTGCCTTTCTGAAGCCTGCTGACAAAGCTTGCTTTGGGGTCACCGATCAATGAGCATTAGGGGGAAATGTGTCCTGAATAAAGGCTTTGTTGTCGTTTGTATACATACTATGCGGACTTATACCCGTCTGTGGGCTGCGCTCCATGTCGGTCATTACAACTGAGACCTAGGCTGTCGTCACCTGGCTCCTGTCCCTGCATCCCCAGCTGCACAGAAGGGAGTCACACACGCTTTGGGGCCAGACCCACCCGAGACCAAATCCCACCCCGGCTCTCTCGAAGCCCACGGGGAGCAGCAGTGGGGGCTGCGGGCAGATGCAGAGCCGGCCAAACGCCGGCCGAGGGGCTGCAGCGTGTGACCTCATTAACCTGCGTGTTACATTTCCTGCCAGAGAGAACACTCACTGACTTGTTTTCTCTTCTCAAGTGAGACGGCGTCCAATATAGCACCCATGAGTCAGTGAAGCTGGCCTCCCCAGAAGGGGGAGCCCTGAGTCACTGAGAGTATCCCCTAAAAAGAGAGGTGAGCAGCCCTAAAGAACTGGAAAATGGGTGTCTTACCTTTGGATTTCTCAGGGTTAACAATGGGGTTCCCAAACCCAAATGCCTCTGGGGTCCGGTGGGCAGTAGGGAATTAGGGAAAAAACAACACAAGTTCAGTAGCAGGTATCAGCTGGCCTTGGTGTTGGGGAAACATAGGAGCGGTGGGGACTGTGGGGACCTAGAGAGTGGGTGGATCTAAGCCACCCAGTGGTGGCTTAGATGAGATAGAAATTCAAGTGTTTATCTCACAGGAATGTGGGTGCGTGTGGTAGCTCTGCTTCCCCAGTCATCAGGGAACCAGGCTGCTCCTAAATTGTGGGTCTGCCATTCCTAGGGTGCTGTCTTTCAGATGTTTGAAGACCACCGACCGGTGTCTTCACCTTTCAGCCAACAGGAAGGGGATGAAGGAAGAGGGAGGGCCAACTTGCTGCCTTTAAAGATACAGCCCACGAATCATACACGTCTCTTCAGCTCATCTCCTGTTGGCCAGGATCTAGCTGCAAGAGAGGCAGAGAAATGTCATTTCTATCTTTGGTGACCCTATGTCCAGCCCAAAATTGGGGGTTCTCTCAGTTCAGAGAAAGGGATGATTGGCTATTGGGGACCCCCACAAATAGTCTCCGCCTAAGCTCCTGCCAGGCCCAGTTGGACATTGTCTTGCAGAAAGATGTCCAAGCATTGCTGGCTTTTCAAGTTATGAGAGAAACTAAAAAGTCAGGTTTTTATGTATAAAACGTTTCCATTTATGAACGCTGACAACACATGAAAATTTTTAAAAAGGTACAACCAAGCAGCCAACAACGTGTTGGGTAAATGAAGCATGCAGAGGGCCCAGCAGGCAGCTGGGCAGAGTGGAGGGTGGTCTGTGGGATCCCTACCGCTGGCCCTGGGACAAGGTGCTGACATCAGGAGCCTCATTTAACCGAGGAGCCCTGGGGTGTGACCTGTGTTGGAATCCCGGGCAAACGTGAGACTGTCCCCAGAGAGAGAGGGTGGCAGCTATGAAACAGCTTAAAGCACAGGACTACTGGTTCAGAAATGTTATTCACAGTTTACAAAAAATGTGCAAAACCCTCCTTTAGCCCAGCCATGTGGCTCAGTGGACTTAGCGTCGTCCCATGGACTGAGAGGTCCCTGTTTGATTCCCGGCCAGGGCACATGCCCAGGTTTTGTGCTTGATCCCCAGTAGGGGGCGTGCAGGAGGCAGCCGATCAATGTTTCTCTCTCTCTGAAAAAAAAAAAAAAAAAAAATCAATTAAAAAAAAAAAACAAAAAACCTCATCCTTTAGTCAGTTTCTGTAAATAGAGCCGATTTATGTGAAGAAAATTATTACAACAATAATGTCAGTGATTTTGCTGGAGTGAAGACAAAAACCATAAATGCTATGGAAAATATACAAAGATTTGTAACTTACCCATGTCTTTACTTTGTTTCTCCTCCAAACGTGGTTGGCCCAGGGCACGTGCAATAGTAACTAAACTCAGGCATCCGGGCTGATTTTCAGTCATATAAAACTGCTGTGCACAGGGTGTTCCGTTCTGAACTGTTTTTCAAGGGGAGAATTTGATGCAACGGTTGTTTTTAGCTCAGCGATAGCTTGTCAGTCTCTGGACACATATGGAAAGCAGTCTCCTTTTGAACTTTGTTCCTGGCAGGGTTAACTAGGAGGCGACCAGGACCTCCCATCTGTCCCATCTGGGACAATCATTCAGGGACATCTCCACCTACCCTGATGGCTCTTCCCAAGGCCCAGTCACCCCCGGGCCTGTGTGAGGGAGTGATGCACTGGTGTCCTACTCAGGGTCCCCCACCTCCGCTTTTCTGGGTTTAAAGGACTTGTTCCTGTTTGTTGCTCGGATCTGGCCATCCATCTGTCTCCATCCCCAGAGGACGTGGTCCAAGTCCTCAGGCATCCACCATGCCAAAGCCGGGAGGGGCCCTTGGCAATGTGGCTTTTAGTCCTGTGACCCAAAAGTCCTACGACAATGAAGCTCAAAGACTTGTCAGCTTTCTGGGTCAAGCGGGCACACGGGAGCACAGGTACCGTGGGGTCAGACCGTCCTGCCCGCTCAGGGAGCCTCACGCAGTCCCTGCCTTGGAGGAGCCCGGGTAGGGCTGTGCACAGCAGGCTGAGTGTCAGGTGATCGCAGCTCTGACGGAGGGCGAGGCAAGGACAGAGTTATCTCAGTGAGGAGGAGGGGAGGGCAGGGTGGTGGCCCAGGGGAAAGCCCCTGGGAGCCTCAGACGTGGGGTGGCAGCTTGATGCCTGCCACTAGCTGTGTGACCCTGAGCAAACATAACCGTAAAATGGAGCCTAGAGTGACATTGACCCCCAGGAGGCACCATCTCAGAAGCTGACGTCTTCACCCAGTCCTCACTGCAGCCCTAGGAGGGAGGGGCTCTTGTATTTGCCAGGAACAGAGGCTTAAGTAACTTCCTCCCCAAGACGCCAGAGGGAAGCAGTGTCTGTCCTGAAGCCCTCAGGTGGCCCCCACACCTCCACTGAGCCCTGCGCCCTCCCTCCCTCTGGGGCGTCTTGGTTGTAGTGTCCATCTCTCATGCCTGCAGCAGAAGGAACCACATCTAAGCCATCTTTCAGGGACCTGAGGCAGTGCCTGGGCCAGGTGGGCAGTTGGGGGGGCTGGCTGGCTGCACCCTAGGCGACCGGGCTGTCCCCACAGGAGAGCAGAGGAAAGAGAGATGGATGTCGAGGAGAGAGGGAGAGAGTGTTAGCCCAGATCCATCCTTGTCTTACACACACACACACACACACACACACACACACACACCCTGCAGGCAGGGGCAGGAGGCAAAGCAGATCCTGGGGACAGCCGCAGAGAAAGGCAGCAGGGAGACAGGAGAGAAAATTCCACAGACGCCCAAAGCAGAGCAAGAAATTGCTTCCAGAGGCGGTTGGAGCTGCCCCCCGGCCCCTACAGCCCCGTCACTTAGCGGGTCTAGAGGTCCCCTTGCAGCTGCCAGGACCAGGAGGAGGTGGGGGGCAGGCAGGGGTGGACGGGGCCTGCTGGAGAAAATCTCCCCAAACCAGGCTTGGCATCCGGGCCTCTGATTGCCCTGAGCCTGGGGGAGGGGTGGCAGAGAAAAGTGGTCCAATATGGTGGGCCAACTCGCGCACCCCAGATGCCCATGTGCTGCTACGAGAGGCCGACGGGTAACCTGAGAGCCCCGAAGGTGCGGCCCTTAAAACCAGGCCGTCCCGAGGCAGGGCTCTGTCTGCGGGACCTGGGGTGGGCAAACCCCAAACCCAAACCCAAAAAACTCACTTGAAGATCTAGCAGAAACGCAGTGTGAAGTGAGGGAATCCCGCTGAATTCCTCCCCTTGTTTCTTTTATCGTAGTAAAACCAATCGACGTGAAATTACCCCTTTAACCACGTTTTAAGTGTACGATTCTGTATTGCTCTCGGTAGGAACACTATTGCGCAGTGGATCCCGAGAAGCTTTTTGGTTTGCGTAACTACAGCATTACGTCCATGAAGAACTGCTTGCATGTTCCCCTCCCCCAGCCCCTGGCAATCACCTCTCTCTTCTTTGCTTTGATGAGTTTGGCTATTTTAGATCCCTCATAGCAGTGGGTCATACAGTACTTGTCCTTCTGTGTCTGGCTGACTTCTCAGCATCGTGCCCTCGAGGTTCAACCATGAGTCACATATCCCAAATATCCTTTAAAAATATTTTTTTGTCTTCTTTATTGATTTTAGAGAGAGAGGAAGGGAAAGGGAGAGAGAGATAGAAATATCAATGAAAGAGAACATCGATTGGCCACCTCCTACACGCCCACCCCTGGGGATTGGGCCCACAGACTGGGCATGTGCCCTGACCTGGAATCGAAGTGGTGACTTCTTGGTGCATGGGTCGACACTCAACTGCTGAGCCACACCGGGTGGGCCCAAATGCCC